TCCGGATAACTGTTGCCATGGGAGGTGTTTCATTTGGCAAGAATCAGTAAGTCTAGAAGTAGGCCATAATGTCAGAGGTGCTTTTAACAGAAGAGGTTTAACACAACCTTGTGAAACTTTCTGGAAGCCATCAGCCCAGACCAGGAATCTCTGTTTGGATGCTGGCTCTGGCCACTCAGAATGATGCCACTCTCCATTTTTTTACGTCTGGGAGAAAAATGCAGTTGTCCCTTGACCTCTAATTGCCTTAATTGGCCAAATAACCTATTTGATGAAGTAAAATATGAAGTAAAATACTTAGATATACTTCTAGGATCTCACAATCACAAGACCAAAAGCATTCTGTTCAAAATGCCATATTCTATTTGATATAAATTTTCTCAATATATGAAAGCCAAGAAGTAAGCTTTAAGTAAATTATTCCACATATCCCAGTGCAGGCTTCCCTGGTGACTCAGACAGTAAAGAATCCACCTACAATGCGGGAGACCTAGGTTCTATCCCTGGGTTAGGAAGATCCCCTGGAGGAGGGCATGGCAACCCACTCCAGTATTCTTGCCTGCAGAATCCCATGGACAGAGGAGCCTGGCGGGCTAGAGTCCATGGGGTCTCAGAGAGTCAGACATTACTGAGCGACTAAGCAGTGCAGACATTTTAAGAACAGAGATTGTTGAAAGCACCAGGGTTGGGATGATTTCAACAGCTTACCATAGCACAGTAACTCAAATCGCAGGAAATGCACTGTTTGGGTACAGAAACCAGCAAAGAATAACAAAGTTTGCACAATAACCTTTAATTACATTGAAAACAACTAAATAGACCATGCTCACATGTTCTGTTAACAGAGGGATTCTGAAGGGTCTACACTTAAGGAGACTCAAAGGAACAGGAACCCTCATGATGGCCCTGTGGCTCTCTCTGTACTCACAGGAATGGCCTGTGGACAGAACCACTCTGAGTCATTTTGCCTCTAGAAACCAGAGGGAGAAACAGCAGCCCTGGATCCACACACATTCCCATGACAGTGTGTCACAAAAGTAATAACCAAGATGTTCAGTTGCTTCAAGACCTCAGTTGGGTTTCCTTCACTACTAACTTTTGTGACGTATAACATATCTCAAACCTGTAACCTCTTGCCTGACCCTCGGTCCTTTGTCTTGGTTGGGGCTAAGGACCAGAAGCCTCTTACAGATGGAAAGACCAGGGAGAGGTGGAGGAACTTCTCCAGGATTCCCCTGCTGGCTCTGGCCTGGCGCTGCCTCAGGCCCTGTCTGAAAGTGGACCACAACCTCACGGCCCCCGCAGGCCTGCCTGCAGGGAGAAGGGCTGAGAGAATGCTGAAGTCAGCTGCTTGTGAGTCTCTGAGTCAGCATCTTCAAGACCAGAACGGTTGTTGAGAAATAAGACTTCTCCCCCACAAAACCCCAAACGTAACAGCGATCTGAGAGCTTGAAACCAGAGGACTCAATTTCAGAGCGGGAGCCCCAAGCTGATCTTGGGAACAAGGAACTGGGGGTGGACCCCTCACCCACCCGCTGCTGCCTCCTGAACAAGCTGGAGTGCTTGTGAGACAAGCAGCGAGGAGCTGGGCGCTATATGGACAGGCAGATTGGGTTGCACGCATGCAGATGGGTCCTGCCTGGAGCTGGGCATCCTTCCTGGATGACCCCACATCACCCACACCTCCTGACCTCACAAACTACTGTCTCCAGGAAGACTTGGATAGCTTCAACTAGCTGTTGCTTTCAAAGTAAGGGGTGGCGGTTTCGTCGCTAAGTCGGGTCCAACTCTTGCAACCCCAGAGACGGTAGCCCGCTAGGCTCCTTGGCCTGTGAGATTTCCCAGGCAAGAATACTGGACTGGGTTGCCATTTCCCTCTCCAGGGGATCTTCCCGACCCAGGGATTGAACCCACGTCTCCTACATTGCAAGGGGATTCTTTACCATCTGAGTCAGAATGTGAAGGGGTAGAGGAGGCTATTGGGGATGCAGCGGAAAGACAGCCAAATGTTCTAATCATTGATGTGTTCAAGTAATTCCACTTCAGGTGCTTCTTAGGATATAATAAGAAAAAAAAAAAAACAAGATACAAAATTGCATACACACCCACATTTAGAAAAAAATTTAGATGGGAGACCTCTTAAAGTAAGAATGTTGAAATAATGAACTACTTCTTTCTTTCCCTTCAGAATATTCTAGACCTAAGAATAATCCTCCAGCTAGCTGGAGTCATTCTCTTGACTGAGGACACAGAGGGTAAAAGAAGTTCCTTGTCTGCTTCACCAGATGGTTCAAATTAATCCTGGTCACCAAGAAGGAGACAGACAGCTCAGACTGACCACACATCCATCGACTCCCCTGTATTTTTCAAATTTTCCAATGAGGGAACGGAAGACATCCAGCTCAGCCACCCAGACAAGTTAGTGACTCAACACACCACACAGGCGGGAGCCCCAAAGGCATCCCTAGTCTCCCATTTCCTCACTCAGGGACACGTGAGAATCTCTCACTGGCTCATTTTCGGCACTTGAGGGGAAAGGACAGCATTCCATGATAATACTTGCTAATTTGTTTTAAAAAAAAAAAAAACCTGCTGAAAGCCAATCACAGACACAGTCAGGTGTCTTTGAGTGTTTATGGTGGCGGTCTGTCCATCCTGCCACACGGGACTTGTGGGGAAGGTGGCCCCGTATGCACACTGGGAACGGCTGCAGCTCCCAGGAGTGTGTGGCACCAATTCTTAGAGGAGCTGGTGGTCAGCAAGGCAATGTGCTAGGTGCTAAGACACATTCTCTTACTGCTCACTAAAGTTCTGTGCCCAAAGGGACACAAGCAGCCCATGGTGGTGCTGGATTCAGGCCCAGGCCTGCCTGATCCTAACCACTTTTCTGCTGATCCAGTGGAACCATCAAACCCGTCAGGAAGAGCGGATCCCTGTTGCCTGTTCAGCATATCAAATCCAGACCTTATCAGCTAGCTGACTCTTCTGTGACACCATACGTCCTGCACTTTCTAGAACATTTCCAGTTTTGAGCATGCCACACCCATGTATCTGTCTCACAGTGTGGTCTGCCCCTGGAGACCTCACTGGCTTATCCTCCCCTGTGCTACCATCTGCACTTGTTTCTCCTGTGGACAGAAGGGGGGTTACACCTCTCACAGGGACAGATCATTTCTACGATCTGATTTGCTTCACATGTTTGTGCTTCATCTTCCCTGCCACATTCCATGTTCCTTCTAAATCAACACTTCACCACCAGAAGACCATTCACAAAGGGATCCCAGAAGCAACAGAACATATAAAAGAATAAGAGGTAGTAGAAGAAACTACAATCTTGCCCAAAACTGTTCTGCTTACTTGATCTGCAGGTGGCATGGTGTTGGACAGACTGACCTTTAAGACACATGCTATAAGACACTGTGTTTCACCAGAGTGCCACTCCCAGAACGGGAATTGCCAAACCTCCATTTAATTGTAATCCATGTAAAGTCCTATGCTTAGATTAAAAAACTTAAGTGTTCAGATGTGACACAACAGAAACTTGGCTTTGCTACAGTTCGTTCAAAATATTAATCCTCAACTTTTGGTAGTCAACTTAAAATCAAGTTCAACAGTACAACGTGATTGTTTAATAGAAAACAAAAGGTGAGTGTTGTTAGGAGCTGTTTATGAAAGTGGAAAGTTTAGGTCACAGGAAGCAAATGTTAGTTGAACCTGGGGCTGAGCCTGTTACCCAGATGACAAATAACCTGCCTGATTCTGAGAAGCATGTTTAACAAAATGACAGAGCCTCAAAGCAGGAAGAGACCTGGTATCTAGTTTGGGTTAAGAAAAGAGAACAAAAAATTTTAATATTTTGAAAATTAAAAAAGAAAAGAGAACAGAGAAATGCAAAGAAGCTCTCAGATGTTTAGCAAGTTGCCATATGGAAAAGGGAGCCTAAAATGTGACCCACTGGTGGAAGTGACTGAGAAATAATTTTCTGTTTGATATAAAAGGAAACTCAAATCATCCTGTGGGAGGCAGAAGGATGGCCCTCAAAGATATGCAGAGCCTAATCCCTGGAACTTGTATCAGTGTTACTTTACAGGGTAGAAGGGCCCCTGCAGATGTGATTAAGTCAAGGATCCTGAGGTGGAAAGACTGGTCTGGACTATCCGGTGGGTCCAATGCAACCGCAGGGCTCCTCATAAGGGGGAGGCTAAGAGTATCAGAGCCAAACAGAGGTCAGAGAGAGATGTGAGGATGTTACACTGCTGGCTTTGAAAACAGAGGAAGGTGCTACAAGCCAAGGAATGCAGATGGTTCTGGAAGTTGAAGACGGCAAGGGAACAGATTCTCCCTTAGAACTTGGAGAAGGAACGCAGCCCTGACGACACCTGATTTTAGCCAAATAACACCCACTTCAGACATCCAGAACCGGAATGGAATAAACTTGGGTTGTTTTAAGCCACTAAGTCTATGGAAATTTGTTAGAGCAGCCATAGGAGATGATAAGTGAAAGTTGCTCAGTCATGTCTGACTCTTTGCGACCTCATGGACTGTATAGTTCATGGAATTCTCCAGGCCAGAACACTGGAGTGAGTAGCTGTTCCCTTCTCCAGGGGATCTCCCCAACCCAGGGATTGAACCCAGCTCTCCCATACTGCAGGCGGATTCTTTACCAGCTGAGCCACCAGGGAAGCCCATAGGTGATGAAGGGATGTCTAATAAGGGAATAACCACTACCACCCCCAGGGAGCTCTTTGTCCCCAGGGCGATCAAGAAGAGGCTGATCATCTACAAGTCAGGAATGCTGTGCGGGTAAGTCATGAAGGATGCACAGCAGACCCCGCCAACCCTGAGTCCCTGAGACAACGCAGCAGCGCTGTCTCTTGTTTTTGTATTCGACATGCTGGTGCCACCCCCAAGGGTGGCCCTCGCTTGCTCCCAGCAGGACCATGGAAATCAGTAAAAGGCCTGCTTTGGCTCAGAGTAACAGTGCTTGTGGAGGCACCTACCTGAGCAGAGGACTCCTTTGTTCCTGGCGCAGGAGAAGTTATCACACTCGCAGAAGGGCCCGTAGATCTTGCCAAACTCGCTCTCGAAGCAGGAGCACTGGTTGCAGCTGCACTGGCCGCGCCCGCTGCACAGTGGCTTGCCCTCCGCCTCCCGGCACAGGTTCTGGTACCCGCTCTGGCTCTCTCCTTCCTGGCACTCACACCTGGTACCCAGGAAGCCGGGGTTGCACTCACACAGGCCGCAGACGTAAGTCCCGTTGCTGCTGCACCTGGGGCTGTCAGGTTCCAGCCCGGCACTGCAGCCGCACCTGCAGTTGTAGGTGACCCCCACCTCCAGGCTGTCCCGGAAGCCCACGGGCCGCAGGGTGAACATGTGCTGCGCGTGTTTGCCAGGGCAGCTCCGGGCCTCCACCGACACCTCAAAGGACGCCTGGGCAGAAGAAAGAGAGGGGATATTGCGGCCGTGGCGCGACTGGGCCTCCTGCTCCCTGTACTGACCTGACCATTACCCAGGGTCCCAAGCACAGTTCCTCCAAGGCCCTCAGTGCAGGGCTGGGACCAAATCTGGCCCCTGCCCACAGGCAGGGAGGCCACTCCAGCCACCCGAGGAGGATGAGGCCCCAAGTCAGCAAGCCCTTCCCTTAACCCAGGAAGGGCGTGTTCAGGCACCAGCGTCTGACAGGCATCGTGCTTGGTCCGTTAATGTTCATTATATCTTTGAATCCTCACACCCTGGAGGAAAAACGCTTCCACAGGAAGGTAGGAAGATTCACTCAAGGTTACATGGTTCTCTTTCTCCCCTTTCTTTTCACTTCTATCCTATCCTCTCCCCATCTCCATTTTGGAAGTCAACAAAACATTCAACAGTTTACCAGGCACCTTGTCTGTGCCACGCTAGACAGGCTCCCTGAGCGTGCGGGGTACTGGGGTCAAGCAGCCCTGGCGGCCGCCTCCTCTTCTGCAGAGGTGCCTCCTCCCCTGCTGGAGAAGGGGGAGAGGACCCCTGGGTCCCTCCCAGCTTATCTGTCTCCCCACAGACACACCTGAGCCTCCCTTCGTCCCGGTTTCTCTCTGCGTGGTGCCCACAACCATGTCTTTCACAACCAGCCCACGGCCCTGAGGTTGTATTTAAGTGAAAGGAAAAGTGAGAAGGTTAGTTGCTCAGTCATGTCCAACTCTTTGTGACCCCATGGACTGTAGCCCACCATGCTCCTCTGTCCACAGGGATTCTCCAGGCAAGAATACTACAGTGGGTTGCCATTCCCTTCTCCAGGGGATCTTTCCGACCCAGGGATCAAAACCAGGTCTCCTGCATTGCAGGCAGATTCTTTACCATCTGAGTCACCAGGGATACATGTGGACAGACTTTTTCTTATTAAACAAAGCATGTTGCCAACTCCTGAGCTGCTTATGAGTTGCCATGGAAACAGGAAGGTGGACCTCGATGGCAGATCACAATGGAGGAAAGGTGCCTGTGAGCTGCCCACACGGCTGGGAAGTGAGGAAAGGAAAGACACTGCTCACTGTGATTCTCCCAGAAAGTCAAGCATGACACCACTTCCCCTCCCACACTGTGTGGTGAGAATCATCTAGCACTGCCCTCCATACATGGCGTGTAGAAATCTCCAGACAGGTAGCTGGCACACCTGCTCAGACAATACCCTGAGTCCTTCTCCCCTAAACGGACAGAGGCCTGGGCCCACTCCAGAAACTGACCCACCGCTTGGCCCAGATGTCTTTCTTTTTCAAAAGGCTCCTCAGAACATTCTGGAAGCTCAAAACAAGTTAGGAACCACTTTTAGCTACTGTTAGTGTTAATTCTACTATCTGGGTTGGAACAGAACTGATTTCTTTAAAAAGTCATCAATAACCTGCTTTACTGGTTACACTTTAGATACATTTTCGGAAAACTCTCAAAATATTTTTTTCTAAACGTTGTATGGATCCCTTTTACTTTGAGATCATTACTAATTCTAAAAGGCCTCCCCTCAGATTTTGTGACACCCAGGGACCCCTCAGGTGGGAGTGGGAGTCTGTGAGACTGAGCAGGAGACCCAGCTCCCCAGGTCCTGGAGAGGGTCCTGCTGGCAACCAGACAGCAGGGGTCAGCACTCAGGAAGGGATGTCATGCCGTCCGATAGGTGAGTTGAGGACAATGACCCCGAGCCAGGGTCAGGAAGCTGGGAGGACCAAGCCAGCTGCAGATAGTTGGGACTGGCCCACCCCCAATTCCACGTGGGCAGTGGGAGAGGGCAAAGGGAAAGATTGACGAAAGAAAATTCAAGACTAAGCTCCAAGGCACTCAGGTACAGTGGGGGCTCTTGAGGCAAGGAAGTAAGATGGGGACCTACCCAGGACACTGCAATCTGCCTCACAGTACCAGCTGCTGAACACTACATGCACGAGGCACCGTGCTTGGTATTTCATGAGCATCTCATCTACACACCCCAGGAGGAGGCATCCTCATTTACCAGAGAGAAAGCGGGGTTGGTGGGTGGGCTAAGGGGCTTAGTGCTAGTCACACAGCTGGGGAGGGGTGGTGCTGGGCCTGTGCTCACCTTGGCACATCACCTCCGAGAAGGAGAGAATGAGGCAGATGTCCAGTGTCCAGAGCTGTGTACAGAGGGAGAGGCCCAGCTCACATAGGGACCATAGTGGGGACCCCCCAAGTTGTGACCAGAGGTTTCTTTAAACCTTTCAGCCTTGGGCTGGGGGTAAGCTGAGTCTGCAGATGGAAGGACAGGGAGGCTATACCTGACCAAGGTGCCAAGGGCATCAAGAATGTGGAGGTGAACATCTCTCTCTCTGAGGCTGAGAGAGAAGCCTAGTGCTTCCCAGGGGAACAACTTTGCTGGACTTGGTAAATGGAAAGCTCTGCTCCCTGCAAAGGCAGCTGGGGGTCAGAAATGAAAAAACTTACAAAGAAATAGCCTGGACCAAGAGTCCAAGGCATTTACTTATTGCAAGACTGTGGGTAGTGTCCATCTGTGAGCATAACCTTCCCCCAGGAAAACTTGCCTGCATCATGGAATTAAGTAGCAAGAGAGGGGATTAAATCTCCTGGGACTTACCAGGAGGAAGTGGAAAGGCGAAGGCCCTCAATGAGTGCTGGCAGCCAACCACCCAGGAACCAGAAATGCTCACCTGCTGTCTGCCCAGGCTGCCTAGCTGGAGGAACAGGAAGGCCTGGCTTCTCAGCAGGTCTTGCTGGCCTTCCTCAGCCAAGCTCTGGTCTAACCAAGGACCTCACTGTCGGGCCCCATGTGGCCTAATGTCTGACTGGCCACCTGATAACCAGAGAATGGCTCAGTTTCAGCCACCAAGCTTCAGGTCCTGCTGGGCACAGGAATGCTATAAAAAGCACGCTGGGAACAGAGAGTTAATCTGTTCTGCCACCCCTCCCCTCAGAGTCCATTTCCCTGAGGGATCAGGAAAGAATCCAGAGAGCCTGTCAGGTGGCTGGAATGAGGCTTCTCTTCTCCGACCACTGTGGACTGACAGTGAAGGCCCCCAGTTGTGGAGACTTTCCGTTTCCCACTCTGAGGTTCCAGAGGACGGTTGTGGGCACAGCAGCCCTTCCCCTACCCAGCCTTGTTATTGGAACCTCATTGAGATGCTCCTGGTTCCCCCCTTGGGGCTGTTGGCCTGATTCATCCTTTCCCAAGGGCTGCCCAACCCCCACCCAGACCGACCAAATCCAGGCTGTGCAGATGCCAAGGCTACTAGCAGCTCACTGAGACAATGGGCACCGACATGAGGTGGAGAGCCCCAGGGGAGGGGACAGTAGAGGGGATGCCGTGGGAAGCCTATGACGGGGCTCACAGGGGCCTTTGTACCAGGCCTTAGTGCTGGCCGCACAGCAGGCCACTTGCATACTGATGTGTCAAAGCCACTTCATGAGAAAACCGACTTCCAGCAGCCAGGCCCACTAAGTCAGCCTTGGTTGGTATTGGGAGGAAAAAATGGAAATCACTGGATTTGGGACTTCAAGATTTCATTTAAGGATTATTTCTCTGAGGACAGCCTTTGTCCCTCACCCCCTACACCTCCTAGAGGAAATCAGCCCTGACTATTCATTGGAAAGACTATGCTGAAGCTTCAATACTTTGGCCACCTGATACGAAGAGCCGACTCACTGGAAAAGACCCTGATGCTGGGAAAGATTGAGGGCAGGAGGAGAAGGCAGTGACAGAGGATGAGATGGTTGGACAGCACCATTGACTCATGTCCATAACTCAATGGACATGAGTTTGAGCAAACTCCGGGAGACAGTGAAGGACAGGGAAGACTGGTGAGCTGCAGTCCATGGGGTGGCAAAGAGTCGGACACAACTTAGCAACTGAATAACAACAACCCTACCACCTGCTTCTTTTCTGAACAGATCCCTTACCCAGAGAACACAGGACAGTCAGGGAACCACAGCCTCTGGTTGGAAGGAACCACGGAGCTGCTGCCTGACCACTCCACCTCTGCAGGAAATTCTGGTTACAGAGGCGAGACCCAAACGGAAGCCACTCGAACCCAGCTGTCCCATGGCTCCCCTCAACCCATGGGCCATGTCCTTATCCATAGGCCAGGCCCTGAGACGCACTTGATGTAGTGATAGCCCGTCTGCACTCCCTAATCCCTCTTCTCCAGTTGAGACTCAGCACCTTTCCGCTGTGCCCTGTACCCCTGCCTACCGCCTCACCATTTCTTGACTTGCCCACAATCCTCCCAATTTATGGTGCTAAGGAACAGAAAACACCTACTGAATAACAGCCAGACACCATATTGGAACGTTCGTCCTACTAGTCGGCCCAATCCTGCCTCTGTCCGGGCCACCCTCCCCTCCATCACCAGCCCACTCCCCTCAGCTGCTCCCCACCTGCAAAAGGGCAATACCCTCATGGACTCACCACTAATGGGGCCTCCCAAACCTTCTTCTATGTCTGGAAAACTCTGAGCTGAAATAGCGGCCCCTGTGATGAGGGGCCCTTCTTCCTTGGGGTTCCTTCAGCAAAAAGGGGGCTGAGGGGAAGCCTCCAGTTCCCCTGCCACACCAGCATGGTGGACCCCACACTCAGAATAACCCACGTTTAGGTTTAATGCTCTGCTATCTGAAGTTATTTCTGAACAAGGACCCCACCTTTCCATTTTGCCCTGGGTTCTGTCCTCCGCTGCCTCCAGGGCCCTCAAGGAGCTCACCTCTGGTGGCCTGGCCAGCAGCACCCGGTCCAGTCATGATTGGTGAGTGGCCGCTGCTCTGTGCCAGACTGTCTCCATCCACAGAAAACAAAACCTCACAGCCTTGGTGGCAGAGCCAGGGGCCACGTGACTGTAGCCTCTTGGACAGAGAGAGGAAACAGGGAGCCAGTATGGGAGGCCTGCCTTTGGGTCACTGTCTCAACAGAGTCATGGCCTCTCGGAGCCCAAGGGAGGCTCTGGCTCACCTGCTGGGGTAGAAATGCTATGGAGAGCGTGGGAGAAGCACCCTTCCTTCTTCTGCTTCAAATGCTCCAGAAACCATCCAAACACATCTGAGACTGTTCACATTTGTGAAAAGAATACCACTTAGAATCCTGTCCTGTCTTCTGGACAATGTTCCTATCTTGCTGAGATATCCCAGCAAAAACAACATCTGTACACTACAGTGACCACACGAAAGTGGTGATGATAACACCTTTCGCTTCTCTGCAACATTTACTTTCAAAGTACACAGGTATAAGGGGAAAAACACGGACCATGGCATCAGTGGTTGCAGCTCTGTCTCCTAGTTTGCATGCTCACCAGCAGTCAGACTTCCAACAAGACCCTCAGCGCCAACTCCCTAGGAGCCTCAGTCTTTCTCACATAAAATGGGGAAGTAATGTCTACCTGACACAGGTGCTGCAAGCAGCAGAGACCTGGCAGCAAAGCCCCAGCACAGCATGGAGTGCATTATAAATTCCCAGGAAACGGTAGCTTGCGTGACCCCGCCATGGTCCAGATGCTACGAGCAGTGAGGACTCAGTTAGGAGAGAGTTGTAAGTCCACTGCCCATCTGTGGGTGACCTCACACCTCACGGTGCCTAGCAGGGGATGTGCAGGGCACGTGGGGAGGCGCTCCCTGCTGGAGGCTGGCCTTTGAGTTTATACTCTGAGACAAGCCCTCTGGACAGGTGTGCTGGAACACAGTGATGGACAGCAAGTGCCAGGGGGAGGGGGTGGCGGGGAGCGTCAGCACTGGTGTCAGAGCCAGAAGGTCTGAGCCTTGAACTTCTGCTCTGCTACCTACAGGCTGCTTACTTGGGCAATTGAGTAAACTCTCTGTGCTTCAGTTTTTCTCATCTGTCAATGTGAATAACTATCTTCCTTACAGTGAACCCAGTAATGAACATGGAGCTAACTCTGTCCAGTTACTTTTCAGTCCTTTCCAAGACTAACTGCATGGCTCCCTTGGATCCATCAGGAACTCAGTATTCTTATAATAAATTTCCCTTTCTTGCTTATGGCAGCATAAACTGGCTTCAGTTTTTTGCATCCACTATTTCAACTTTATAATTAACAAACTAGTTCTTTTGACCTTCCTGGTTTCTAGATACCTCATCGTGACAATTGCTTTTGCTTGCTTTGTTTTTTTTGGAAAAAATACTGAACAAAGAACTCCAGATGCAGTCTGATCTACACAAAGAAAAGTGAAACCATTATCTCGAGGTTCCATTAATGCAGTCTCAGTTGGCATTGTTTTTTTTTTTTTAAAGCAACACTACTTATTCACACGGAGCCTTTGAGAATTAGAATCTGCCAGATCTTTTTCTTAAAAGCTACTATCAAACCAAGTTCTATGTTATTAATATTCTGAATTAAATGCAAGATACTAATCCTAATGATTTCAACCCCACTTCATTTTGAAAAATGTTCTTAAATCTTGGTTTTCCTGCTTTATAAGTGATCTATCTTCTCCAGCTTTGTGGCCTTCCCACCTTTGATAAGCTGCTCTCCCACTAGTTAATCTCAAGCCAGTAGTAAACACGAACAGATAGGAGACAGTGGGAACTTCAGTCAAGTCTTCCTCCGGGTGATGTCATCAACACTCTTAGAAAGCAGGTTTACCCAGCTATGCATCTGCCCAGCTATGCTACTGCCAACCTGCGTTACCTGTCTTTGTATTAGGATGTCATTAGAAATTGTCAAGAGACATCTTGAAACCGAGGCATCTGGTACGTGTTGTATATCCTCACCGCCTCAGTTCCATGGTACCTATTTTTCCAAGTAAAGAGTTCTTTGGGTGTTTTTCACGCATCCTTCTTTAGCTTTCTTAACACACTGCACTAAACATCCCATCTACCACAGATCTATAGAATCCACTTACATGTATTTTTTCTGGTTAGTTCTGCCTCCTATGTTTCATAATTGCCTCTTTAAACTCAGTGACTATAAGGCTTTTGTATTTAAAAACACCGTCTGGATTGACTATTCATTGCAACTGATCAAAACAACATAAATATATCACAAAATGACTAGTATTAAAAAATAAAATTTTATTGGATGTGCAACTTTAATAAGATGGGGTTTTCCCCACCCAAATAGTCCATGTATATTAAAAATATGACATTACTAAATAAGATAGGGATCATCATTGATTCTACTCCTATTTTTAATTTGGATAGATTAAACTACTCTCTCCAAAATTTATTAACGTCAATAGGAAGATGGGAATAGGAGTCTGTCACAGTAACATCACCTTATTCTATAAGTATGTTCTGAGATAAAATGCATAATGAATTATTAAAATGTTTTAATGATTATTTATCTAACAACTTGATTAGGCCAATCTCCACCTCTCCTTTTTTTAAGAGCAAAAAGACACCTGGGAAAAAAACCTGAGTTAGAAAAAGATTTGTTATCTGGCCATTAGAGTCCTTCACTTTCTCAACTTTCATACCACATTCTGAACTGTCCCTATGCTGGGGTGAGACACCCCTGTAAGATTTGGAATGGATGAGATGTATGCCTGTGGGTCGTAAAGTGGGTGAAGAGCAGTTGGGAAGGTGAAGGAGGAACAGACTCAATTACAGAACATGAGGAAACTCCAAAAGACCACACTGCAGTGTAAGCAACTGTGTGACCACAACCATGTCTTTCTGAGCATGGGTGTTTCCCTGGAGTCCAGGGTATGTCTGCTAATCTCCACCTTGGCCATCATTAGCGCTTATGAAAGCCCAGAATATAGTCATATATCTTTAAGATCCCTATAATTTTTCTGGGTCCAATCAGATTCATTACAGAAGAGAACTTACCCTCAACTGCCTTCCCATTTTCTGAGCAATGAAAGTGACAATAAAGCAAAGAATGCATCTCACAGTCTGTCTGGTGTTTCTGGTGGCAGAAATCTCTAGAAGTATGGCTGGCTCTCCATCACCACTCTGCCTGCCTATGAGCCAGTGTTTCACCTTTGTTCTCATCACCTGTATGTACATCCTCCTCTCTCCCTCAAGTCCTTAGCTTGGAACACATCTTCATATGTGATATTTCTTCCCCACCGTTTAATTATATCCACTTAAATCCAGATAAGGCAACCCATGCTCCCACCATTGTGACAAAGTTATCCATTTCATCTGATCAGATCAGAAGAGGTAAATGGTTTTCTTCATATTTTACAAAAGGGGAAAGTGAAGACCAGACTATCCAAGGCACAGAGCAAGCTCCAAGAGACTAGGAATGAAGGCCGGGGCTTTTAGATTTCCACTTACACTCCCCCACCCAATTTCATCCCTGTCAAACAAAGATAATAATAAAAAGTTAAAGGCACCAAAGGTACCATGTCAACTTGAGGAAGCCAATGTACTGAGGGCTGTGTACTGACTGGAGTTTTTAAAAAGTCCACCTGCATCTTGAAGGCACAGCACAGAGAAGGCTGAGTTGGAAGACAGAACACAAATTCCAAAAGGCCTCTAATAAGTCACAAAAGTTATCAGAGGCCAAAGCATGATGACCAATGTTAACAAGCCCAAGCACATGAGGAGGTGAGAACTTACCGTGTCCCCGATCTTCAGGCCCTCGCACTTCCTCTGACCAGGGTAGGATACACCATCCTGGCAGGTAGCAGTAAAGACGAGATTAAGATCCTCAGGCTGATCCCAGACCGACAGTTCCACTTTAGACCGGATGCTCTGAACAGAGAGAGAAGCCGGAACCACTCAGTCAAGGCTACAGCTGAGACACTCTCCACACTGGTTCTCTGATGCCCACATGGCTTCCTCTGACTCTGGGGTCTCAAGCCAAGGCGAGAGCCAGTAGGTTAGGTTCGCTGCTCCTCCCCCATCCCTTTCCTCCTCTCCACACCCACACACCATCTTACTAGGCTGGGCTTAAGGTCTCCCTCTGTGAGCTCAGAGAAGTAGCTAGTGGCCCATCTGCCGCATGATAACCTCATCTGCTTCCAAGGGTGATGAGCTGTCCCTGTTCATCTCTGCAGAGCATCTCTCATCCCCACCCTCAGCTTCAGACATGGAGCTCTTCATATCTTGCCATGTGCTCTCTAGACTATGGGCCTTGCACAGGCCTGGGGTAATGGTCCTTTGCTCAACTGCTCCTCTCTTTCCTCCCCTGACCAGCTCCTTATCATTCTTTCCCAACAGCTCAGCAGGCACTTTTCCCCGGAACCCACCCTCTACTGCTCACCATCACAGCCATCCCCCATCAGATGAGGTCCACATTCATGAGCTCTCAACTACTTTCTGACAGAATAGCATCTTATGTGTGGATTATGTCCTCAAGACAAAAGATGAAACCAAAATCAAGTTAAAATTATCCATCAAAATAGAAAAGATCAAAGACTAAAAACACCAAATGTTGGAAAGGAGTTGGGGCAACTGGGGCTCTCAAACCCTGCTGGTGGGAGTGTGAACTGGTACAACCCTCAAGAAAAACATTAGCTGGTACCTACTAAGCTTAGGTCAACCTTAGACAAGCAATTCACATCAGAATCATATCCAACAGAGATGTGTACTGACCAGCAGACACATACAAGAATGTTCACAGCAATACTGTCTGAAACAGCTAGAAACTGGAACTAACCAAATTCTTATCAATAGAACAGAATTTTTTTCCAAATTACAGTGTGCTCATGTAGAATACCATACAGTACAACAATGAATGAAACATGACTACCTGTTGCCACACAGATGAATCTCATAAACATCACACAGTCCTAAAGAAACCAGATGTGCACAGCATACAAACTATGATTCTGCTTATTTATACTATCCCCTAGGGGATAGTAATAGAAGAGGACATAGGAGTTCTGGAGGCTATAATAGTAATATTCCATTTTGGCCTGGGTGGCTCAATACTCACGGTGTATTTAGTTTGTGAAAAGTCTACACAATCTTCTGTGTATCTCCAAGTTTAAAAAATTGCCACTGAAAATCTCTGAGGAGGATATACTTTGGAGACAGAGGCCAAATGAAGTAACTGACTTGTAGTTAAGGTACTCCTTACAAAGGGATTTTTTTATACACTAAATACACTCAGAATAGCAGATTACGCACACATTCCAAGAGACACATGGATCTCCCTCCCCAGATCAACTGACGGCCCTTCAGCGCCCCCACCTCCCTTCTCAGGTGCACTCTGGGCAACAAGACTTCGGGCAGAGGAAGGCAGAAGTGCTTCTTCCTCTCCTAGGGCTGCTTATCTTTTTTTTTTTTTCCTGCTGAGCATGTAGTGTTAAACTTGCATTAGTTAAATATGCAGTTTTCCCAACACATTAACAGCTTATTGAAAACACTCTCTGCAAAAAATAAGTCTCTCCCTTTGCCACAAATTGTCTAAGTGCTTCTACAACTCTAGTGCCAGCCTTCACTGGCAGGGGACTGCGAGAGTGCCACTCAGGACACACAGCTCTCCTGCTTGAACGGGATCTGTTGTTCAGTTGCTCAGCTGTGTCCTGCTTTGCAACCCCATGGACTGTAGCCTGTCAGGCTCCTCTGTCCATTGGATTTCTCAGGCAAGAATGCTGGAGTGGCTTGCCATTTCCTTCTCCAGGGAATCTTCCTGACCCAGGGATTGAACCTTCACTTCCTGCATTGAAGGTGGATTCTTTATTGCCCAGCCACCAGGGAAGCCCTGCTGAATGTGGGTTTTTTTGTTTGTTTGTTTTTAACAAATCTGTTCTCCCCACTGAGCTGTGAATTCCAAGGACCATAGAATATTTCTCTCTAGGACTGGACATAAACTTTTATTGAATGGGTGGATGGAGGAAAAGATGGATATTTTTAACAACAGCTATGCTAGGCAGCTTGGGCTTAGTAGAAGAAAATTTTTGGAAGATGAGGTAAATTAAAATTGTCTATTTTAATTGTGAGTAAGTGTGAGGATGAGGCAAAGCAGTTTATCATTAAAGGGCTAGGTAGACTGGAGCTATTTAAATTTCTTAGGCTTAGTCTCATGAAATGTGAAGGCCCCACGGCTCACAAACAAGACACTGGGAAGAAGCATCAGCGCTTGCCATCGAGATCTGCGGAAGCTACCACCTGGAAGCATTAACAGGGAATTTGGAGGAGGAAGGGGACACTAAGGACTGAACTCCTAGTCGATGCATCAGTAACTGTAGCAGATGGACATGGAATCTTATGTCCTACTCTGGCCATGAGACCCCTAAGCTTTGTGTTTAGATCCACAGTGTGTATTAATCTCGATCCCCATGCTGTCTCTGGAATGAGAAACACTTTAAGATGTTAGTGAGGATAGGAACTGTGGAAATTATTCAGTTCAAACTTCCCATTTTATGAAAGTGGGAACTGAGGCCACTTAGCTGGCAGGGGCAGGCAGGATCAGAACCGGGCCTTCTGGGTCCCCCTGCAGTGCTCTCTGCAGTTACCAGGCCATACACTTCTTAACTGGAAACTGGCTCTGACCTTGGGGAGTGTAGATGCTTAGGACGTACCCTGGTTGACTCAGTCTCCCCTCAAAGATTATGAGTTTCTGGAGGGTAGCACTATGTTTTGTTCAGTTTTATCCCCAGGGGGGTAGCATGATGCCTGCCACACATTAAGCTGTCTCTGTCTGTTGAATAAATGAGGGAAGGAATAAGTGGCTGGGGTACAGGATACAGTAGAAAATCAAAGCCACAGCCAATGCAGTTGTGATGCATGAAAATGTTATCTGTCACTCCTGAAATTCAATGAACTCCTCCCAAATTTGCCTCTGAATATGATTCCTTATTCCTCACACCCTAGAACAAGTAGACAACGTCAAGAAGTTTAAAGGCTGTTAAATACCCAGGCTAGGTAACATCTGCAATCGTTTTAAGGCAGGCCAGCTGTGGAGTGGGAAGAGCAGACTGTATGGCAACAGCGAAAAGAGAAACATGTGCTCAGCAAGGAGGCCTGAGTCAGCCTCCACATGCAGCTCTAGTGGCGTCCAGCACACCCTGTTCTTGCTCACCCTGGAAAGGGAGCCCCAGAATTTCTCTCCAAGTTCGACCCTCCCTTTGTCTATGTGACACAATGCTGGTGTCGCGTGTACGCACATGTGTGCACCCAGTGCCCTACCTCTGAGCTCTGGAAGGAAACCCACTGTACAGCAAAGCTCCACACCGGGGATCCCTCACAAGGAGGAATCTGGCATAGCAAGAAAAAACATAGAAATCAAAGCCCAGAGGTGCAGACTTGCCACCATGAAAGCTGAGAACAACAGACTGGGTTCTACGAGCCGTTCCATTAGACACGCTCTTCCTGCTCGCTCCCTCCCCAGCCTCGAGGCACGCCACTTCGTCTGCCCTGCGTGCTCCACTGCAGCCCCTTCAGGATGTCCCCGCCGATGGTGTGCCAGCGACGGGGGAAGCACGAGTCCATACCACGCTTAGTCACGCCTTGTGTGACTCACAGGAAATCCACCACGAAGTGCGGAGGCGGGAAGGTGACGCCGAGGAATGCAAACAGTCCAGTTGGAGCCGTGCCCTGACCCTAACCGGGTAGAGAAGCAGGTGAAAGGATAACCAGAGCCCCTACCACAGGCCAAAGTACACACAAACACATGGGCCTGTGCAGGCTCAAATCCAGGAGACGTGTGGGCGGCTGAGGCCCAGTCCTTACCAGAAAGGACCGCAGCCAATGAATCAGGTGTTAACGGACACGGAACACCAACGTGCCCCCAACACAGCTTCCACCAACTACACTTTGCTCTGAATACCTTGCTGTTTCACATTTCTATATTTAATGTATTCCTTTAAAATTTCCACTGAAGGAAAGAGCAGAAGTAGGGAGTGACCAAGGGTCCCAACTTTTTAGGGTGACAGACATGTTCACTGTGGCGATGATTTTAAAGGTGTGTACAAGTGTCAAAACCTTATCGAAGCATGCACTTTAAGTCTGTACAGTGCATTATAAATTAGTTTGTTAATTACTTCTCAAGAAAGCTGTTTTCATTTTCCACTGAATTTGAATAGCTACTTTGGATCGTATTCCAGAAATGCCCATTTTATTTATTTATTTTTTAGAAATGCCCATTTTAAAGGGCGGGTTTCATGCATGCACTCTGGAGTCACAGAATCTGGCTTCCTAACATGTTTCCTTATAGACACACCAATCTAACTCAGGGTGCAGCTATAGTTCTGGATCCATAGAGGTCCTCGGGGGCTCACTCCAGGTTCCAAATGTAGCCCCTGCCTGGAATAGATCTTTACTCTGCCAGTTCCCGAATCCTCAGCCACAGAGAGGGCTCCCGGCTCCCCTCCAGACCTCTGCCTAACCCACGCCCCTGGGTTTCCATTAAGAAAGCAAATTCATCTGTCCTGAGTCCTGCTCAGGTCATTGCACTGTGCCTCAGAGGGAGAACAGCTCTGAGCATCTACGAGATTCTGCCTGGGGATCCACTACCAAGGCTCCATGCATCTGGTCTGCACTGGACCCGCACATGGTTGTGGACGTGCAGACTGCTCAGCCAAACAGAGCACTGACTGAGCATAGCGCTTTTCCCAGCTCTGGTGAGCACCAGCTGCTAGTTCTACAGAACAGGGTGTCATGATGCCCTTCTTTATTAGACCCATGAGGAGCAGAGGGCCTGGGCCTTGGATAGGAAACGCTTCCAGGGGAGCCCTGGAGCCCTGGCTGCCAGCTACCCAGGATGTCAGAACTCAGGAGCTGACGGAGCAATCAGTCCAGGGCAGGTCTCTGGCTCTCACTCTGACCTCCCCTGTTTGTGTCCAGAGCTTGAGACCCTGGGTATCACAGTGAGGGGGGCCCTTCGGTCAGTGGTGACGTGGGGCAGTCCTGGCCCCTCCCTCACACACACCCTGCTCAGACTCCCTCACTACATTACACCTCCACGCACTGCAGGAATCTGAAAACCACAAAGCGTAGCTAACCTGGAAACCCGGTCTCACTGGGCTCTGTGCTGGCCACTGGTCACGATGAAGATTTAAGGTCAGAGATCAGAAAAGAGGATGTTAGTGTGAGAGGGGTGAGTTAGGAAAGGAGAAGGAAGTCCAGTTTCTCTCAACAGGAAGTTCCAAGAATGAGGATCAGAGTATGCATGAGAGAAAGAGGACCCTTAGCTACACAGAACTGGGGGATAGGTAGGGGGAAGAGGGAAAACCTGCCCCAACTCCTCACTGCCACCCACTCACCGCCTTCAGCAGATCAGGAGAGGGCTGGCACCCTACGCTCCTGGCCCTCTGTAACCAGGGGTATTACTACAGCCCCTGGTCTAGGACAGCAGCATTTTGTGATGCAAAATAAGGCCACCACAGTAGGAAACAAATTCAGCTGGAAAGACAGAGCTCCAAATGTGCATTTGTAAATCATTCGTGGGAAAGTAAGATGGTTTTTCTAATACCATGTCATGCCAGCACAGTTGATTATATTCCCAGGTTAGCCCACAGGTCTATTCTACATGATACAGCCAGCTAAACTACATTTACTCTATGTAGAACTTTGTTTTTAACAGGCAGATGCACTCTGAATTCTGACTCGGGAACCACCAGGCCTCATGAGGGGCTGGGTGGGCGCTGGAGGCTTCACAGGGAGGGGCACATACGTGCCAGCACAAGAATCAGGGCTCGCCATTTTCCCGAGGAGAGGAGTTCTGCATCAAACACTTCTAGGGTGTTAGGAATGGAAGGAGGGCGTGGGAAGGAGAGAGATTTGGGAATCGCAGATGACTGGCTTGGGATGCAGCAGTGACCCCCGAAACCATGTCCTAAGGCACTGTACTTATTACTACAGCAGAGCCAGGCTAATGGAGTTACAATAGCAGCCTCCCTCGAAAAGGACCTGAATACAATTAGAGCCTAAGCAAGGAGGCAAAAGTCCTATTGGTGACTCTTCTTGGATTCTTCTGACCCATGTTAGTCTGCAGCTCAATGTGGAGCTCCAGGAGCCTGGGGAATTTCAGTCCTGCTAGGAGGTGAGCAGTGTGCCCTGCTTCTCACTTCTTGCCACAGGAACACAGTGGCAGGATGACCCAGGCAACTCGATGGGTAAAGAGCACCTGTACCCACCACCCAGATGTGGTGCCCTAATGGGGACCAGGGTTACCAAAGAGTCAGAACCCAAGCACATCCAAGGGCCACCAGCCAGAGACTCACTGAGCCATTTGCTGCTTCACTGGGATCCACTTACAATGTGAGTCAAGGTGGCATGGCTGAGGGGAGACCGATGCACAGGCAGGATGCCTTCTCTACCCCGAATCCAAATGAAGGAGGAAGGCGCCAAACTCAAGAGGCAGGAGACAAGACACAGAACCAAGTACCCCAGCACAATGGTGCCCTTCTGACCAGAGTCTGCACCAGCTCCTGGAGCCTCAGGGGGAGAGGGTGGGGGTGGGGGTGAAGGTGGGAGAAGAAATCGGTGACTTACGTTGTATGCATTGATAATCAGTTGAAGTATATTTTTGGAGTCTCCGTGTAAAATCTCCACCGTTGTTCCAGGTATCAGGGCTGTAAAATTCTTGGGGGAAAAAAAAAAAGAAAAGAAATGAGCCCATTTTGCCTTTGCATCCTGTCAAACAGTGAACACTGCCCTACTGAGCTAGAATGGTCAGGGCCCTCAGCACTGCTTTTGCCACTCACTGGCACCAAACTCAGAGACGCCACAAGTAGAGGCAGAAATCAGCACAAGGGAATGGAGTTGTCGCAGCAGCTGTGGGATCTTGGTTCCTCAAGGTCTGAATAAGAAGGGTCTGACAAGATCTGTTCCTAAAGTGTAATGTCAGGCTGCTTCCTGGAGACCCCTCCTCTCTGGCATGTAATGGAAAATGCTCTGAAATTCCACTCTCTAGTGTCAATATAGGGAGTCCTGGTGGCTCAGTGGTAAAGAATCCTCCTGCAATGCAAGAGATGCAGGTTTGATCTCTGGGTCAGGAACAGCCCCTAAAGTAGGAAACGGCAACCCACTCCAGTATTCTTGCCTGCCAGAAGAGCCTGGCAGACTACAGTCCATGGGTTTGCAAGAGTTGGACACGACCTAGTGACTAAACCACCACTACCACCAGAATCAATATATTCTCAATGTTCTTGTCCTCTCTTCTAGACTACGTAGGCATTCCCAGTTTCCGTTCAAAGATGCCCTCAACCAGTCCAGAAAGAGTGAAAGAGGAAACTCTGCCAATGGTCCCCAAGACAGTCTCTTCTTAGGAGGGAACTGAATGGGAATGGTGCCTCCCAAGGAGGTCTGGTATCTCTGGGTGAAGTCCTTGGCAAAGTAGGCGGCCTTGACATGGCTGCCTTTCTTCTTTCACAGGTACCAAGGCCTGTGTATGTCACTTGCTAAAGTGACAGAAACATCTAGAAATACCCGCCACCCTCAGGCTGCCTTGGACTGGACATGCCTCCCCCCTCAGTGAGGCGTGCTTGGTTCTGAGCAATGCTGGCCTAAGCCAAGGTGGGTCTCCTCCCTCCTGAAGCATCTGGAGTACATCCACGCAACCACCTCTCTAAACATGGTCCCTGTAAATGGCCACGTCCTATCCTGCTATCTTCACTAAACAAAGACAAAAAAAAAAAATCTCCTTGTTTTCATCTAAAATTGATTCAGGCTAAAAGAAGATAAGAACTTAAGAAGATGTAAATGGCATTTTATCAATGATAATCTCAGGCAGGCGCAGTGGAAACACACCTTCGGACAAAGGTTCTCTTGTGGATATTTAAGAGCAGCAGAGAGAGGGGACTGGGGTGACTGTTCTAGAGGTGGGGATGAACTTCTCATGACCTCTCATTTCAAAGGATGTCAGAGGTGAGTTGGGCTTCACACCCAGCTCACATGAACACTCAGGGAGCAGCCCGCAGGAGAGTTCTAGTGAAAGGCAACTTCCCCGTGTTCGCAGGGAGGAGCATATTCATGAGGGGAGAGTACAGCGGTGGCCCATGGGATGACTGGGGAAAGTCTAGTAACAGACTCATACAGACCGCTCTGTGCACTCAAGACACTTACTGCTTTCTTTGGAAGTTCCTGCCCCAGACTAAGCCACTGGTCTCCCATACTCTGCAGGAAGGCATACAAACTCTGGATGTAGCCTGACTAGATACCTAGTTTTCTCTCTGCACATTTTCCTTTTATATCTTCCTTCCCTATTCCCTGGGTGTTTCCATTTCATCATCTGAAAAACAGGAATTGATACTGTTTCCCTCATTATCAAATTAGAAACCACATGTTTAACTCACTTGGTATGCTCTGCTATATGAATGCTTAAGAGCTTCCTTAACACTATCATTTTCCACTATATCAGGACAGGACTATATTCCACCCTCCTTTGGATTTCTGCCCACACAGAGCAGAGCTGTTAACACTCCTCACACAGCCACCCCACACTACACCTGGCCCCACATTCCATTCTCCCACTCATCTCCAAGTCAGCAGGGCCCCCAGATTCAGGCCACCAGCCTCCCTCACTCCCTTCCAAGTGTACCTTATAGAGCATATAGTGGTTTTTCGTCACTGCAAAGATGAGGTTGATATTGTTCTCTGCCAATTTCTCTCCAAGTAACGCAAGGGATGGATAGTCCTAGGGCCAAGGCAAAAGTCAAGGCTGTAACATTTCTTGCAAGTAGAGACACTAGCACCTGGCTCCAACATGCACTCAGCAGCTCATCACCCATGCAGATAATAAGCATCTTCCCCCTAGCAGCCCCTTAAGAGCCAAGCCCCCTGGGCAGCTCCTTACTGAGAAGCTGTGTAGGGAAGACTCTCCAGGAAAGGACCTTCTGGCACCCACCAAACTAGACTCACTCCTCCTGCCCCTCTCAACCCAGAATGGAGAAGTGATGAGTGGAGGTCTCCCACACTTGGCCCGTGTTTCCATCCCTTCCGCAGGAATGCGACAGAGTGGGGAAGCCAGCAAAAGAGCAGTGACCACATCCTACCATCAGCACCTGTTTGTCCTCTCTCCCCTAAGACTTTCTTCCTGATCTCCTCGCCCTATTTTCCTTTTCCCATGCCCAATGTTGGGCCTGCCAATGTCCTGTATAGGTTCTGCTCAGTCCTCTCACGGCTCAGAATGGGCAGAAAAGGCTGCTGACATTTGGACAACTTGGGCTGTGGCATGGGAAGGGGTACAGAGGAGGGAGGGAGGGAAGATGCTCCCTGAAGGATGCTGCGAGGCAGCTTAACAAAGTCCTGAAGGATTTTAAGGGCCGATAATGGGTCCAGGAGTCCTCATCAGTGAGGTTCTACAGTTATCAGGTAGTAATAGTTAGGCGTTCTTTCTCTGGACTCCATTATTCTTAACCACCTCTTGAAACTGGAGAAAATGGGTTAGTCCAGCAAGATTTAGAAAGAATTTCTCTCTAGTCAACCACTCTACCAATGCACTCTGGAAAGCACATTTGGGAAGGAAGAAGATATCTGGGAAGAAAAAACAAACTTTTTATAGCAAATGTGAAAAAAATCTTAATTTTGGGGTCTGGGTGATATGTAAATAGAAGTTCACTTACTGGCCTATTGTATGTTTGAAATTCTGCATAAATTCTACTGAACTGTACAACCACAGTGACAGACTCCCGGGCAAGTCCTTGGGGCTTCTCACCCAGTACAGGACACCTGCCACCCACCCCCAACACTGATGGAACTCAGGCAGGAAACCGAAGGAAGTCTTGTCTTTGCTGGTCTTGCCCCATAACTTCTGTCCCAGTTTTTCTTCCTCTGTGGGAACACAGTCCTCTCTCCTGTGTAAAATCGCCTCTTTCCTTTGACATCTATCCTGTCTTGCCCACCTCTTCCTTTGACTAAACATTCCCCGTGTGGATGCATAACAGCAGAAAGATGAACCAGCTACAGAAATCCTTGAGAAACACTCTAAGGTAATGATGAGCAGGAGTTCTGGAAGCCCAGTTGGAGCAGATGGAATAGAAACCCATTCCCAAGAAAGGATGGGGAAGTCAGTGAGCAGAGGTCCAGAGGAAGGTGGTCAAGGCTGGGTGAGGCCTCAGACCACAGGCAGGGTCACAAGGGCAGTGCTGGGGGTCCGGCCCTCACCATCTGGTTGGACGCCGTGTACTCGTTGGCCTCGTTCAGGTGGCACTGGCCATCGTGCGGCTGCACCAGGCCCCCTAGCTTTCCGTCCAGCGCGATGTGGGGCACGTCATCTGTGGTGAATACCAGCAAGTGCAGTGCATCCTTTCGCCAGCCGATCTTCTCCTGAGGGACAGAGGTTGACAGGTTTAAAGGCTTCCTAGCTGCTGCCCAAGCCTGTCCTGGGGCATCAGACAGGGCACTGGCCCTTCTCAGGGGTTGTGGTGCGGATCAGAGGTGATCCTCTGTGTGCATAGCTGGGGATCACTCTGCAAGCACTGGGGGATTGCAGAGAGCCAGCTGATGGGGGAAGCCGAGGGGCAGAGCTGAATCTCCATCGTGGGGCCCACCTGTGCCTGGAACCCCTCGCTGCAGGCTGCCCTCACTGCTCCCACTCTCCACCTGATGGCCACTCCTCCTGGAGGCCTGTCCTTTGAGGCTCCCATAGTATTCCTTCCACAGGACAGCCGTTAGCCCACCCCAACCTCCCCACCCTCCAACATACTCGGCTGGCTGCCTAGGTCTAAGATGACCAGTAAGTGACCACTTCAGTCCCCCAATTAAGACACAAATCACTCAGAACAGAGTGCCTAAATGACCAACAGATGATCTGTCTTTGGAGAATCTGGTAAAATCTGCCATCTTTCTGGTAGATGTAAACCACTTTAATCATTAATTGAACTACTCCAGTGATTAAGGTCAATCAGATAAGCTCTCTTCTCCCTTTAACTGCTTCACTGTTGGAATATGTCCACTCTTCAGACAGAGGCATGGCTCAATATAGGCTATACTGTCAGGGAAGGACTCTTATTTTAAATCTTTAACCACTGTAGCCCTGACAATACACAAATCACTCCTAATCATTACTATTAGGAGCAGCTAGATCATGATACAGGGCAACAAAACCTGGGACTGGGGTGCTTTCATACCAGTAGTGAAAGAAAATACATGGGTAGCAGGATGAACAGAGGAAGGGTTTAAACACTGCTGAGTTATCTGCACATGGACACCTTACACTGAAATAAGAGACTGGATTCACAGACTTCACAAGTTAAAAGCTATCATCTTATGGCAGATGAGGGGGTTAGGGTATCATCCTTTCTTATCACCAAAATGATGGACAAAACAGCCTTTAAGAGCTATGATATTTTCTCATTCACTCCAAAAGTAGCATGGAAATAAGTCACAAAAAGTCAGAGTAACACAAGGAAGAAAAGGTGTTTTGAAAGGAAGCCAGTGAGGACGGAAAGCCAGGATACCAGCTGTGAGCAAGGTATCCACCTTTGGGGAATCGGTTTCCCAGATGCTTAACATTCGGCCAACAGACAATTACCGACCTCCGACCTCGCACAGGCTCCGTGGAAGGCACTGGGTCTATGAAATCATCTGTTCTGGACCTCAAAAAGCTTGCAGTCAAGCAGAAACACAACTTCAATGCATCTGGATAAGTGTGCTAAAGAAGGTAAATAGCGTCTCAACAGAAACTGGGGGAGGAGGCAAGAAAAGCTTCCTAGGGCAGAGGAAACATAAACTGAGCGAAAGGTGAGGAGGACCCTCCTAGGAAGCCTACATGACGGGGAAGGCAGAAGCTGGGGATGCTGAGGTGTCCTAGGCACTAGTAAAGGCACAATAAGAAGGCCAGGCACAGAGGACAGAGTCTCCTCTGTCCATGGAATTCTCCAGGTAAGAATAATGGGAGTGGATTGCCATTCCCTTCTCTAGGGAATCTTCCCAACCCAGAGATCAAACCCAGGGCTCCTGCCTTGCAGGCAGATTCTTAACTGTCTGAGCTACCAGGAAGCCCAGTAAAGGCACAATGAGGAGGCCAGGCACATTTTCAAAACCCTGAGGAAGAAACCTAGAATGTCCCTTGCTGCTGCTGCTGCTGCTGCTAAGTCGCTTCAGTCGTGCCCGACTCTGTGCGACCCCATAGACGGCAGTCCACCAGGCTCCACCGTCCCTGGCATTCTCCAGGCAAGAACACTGGAGTGGGTTGCCATGTCCTTTACAGCAATGAAATTCTAAGTTGTGACAAAACCAACTTAAGGGATTAGAAGTGGAGGAGTGGGTCCCCTTGGTGGCAAGACAGAATATGTTAGGAGGGCTAATAACTGGCATATATGGGAACTCAACAATGAAAACTCAAACAATTTTGAAAACAACAACAAAGTTGTGGGTTCATTTGATAAGGCCAAAACTTACTATACGGCTACAGTAATTAAGACAGTGTGGTACTGACAAAAGGACAGATACACAGACCAGTGGAACACAACAGAGACCAGAAATAGACCCACACACATATGGTCAATTTAATGGAATAATTAGACATCCATATATAAAAAAAATGAAACTTAACCCATACCTCTCATTATATACAAAAATGAACTCAAATAGGGTCATAGACCTAAAACTATAATACGTCCAAAGGAAACAAAGGAGAAAAAGCTTTATAATCTTGGTTTGTAATCTTGGTATAAGCAAGATTTCTTAACTGATTCACAGGATAAAAATCTGATGAGTTGGACTTAACCAAAATTAAAACCATCTTCTCTTTGAAAGTTACCATTGAGAAAATGAAATGACAAGGCATGATTGGGAGAAAATGTTTGGCAAGAAATAAAAATCTGATAAAGGACTTGTATTCAGAATGTACAAAGCACTCTCGTAGGTTGATAACAACACAAACAACTGAATTTTTAAAAATAGAGACTTGAACAGACATTTTACCAAAGAAGAGATATGGATGGAAATAAGCACACAAAAGGACCCTCAACATCATTAGCCATTAAGGAAGTGCACATTAAATTCACAATGAGATGCCACTGGATAGCTATGCCAATAGCAAAAAAAAAGAGCCCTAAAGATACCAAATGCTGGAAAGAATGTGGAACAACTAGAACTCTCATAAACTGCTAGTGAGAATACAAAATGTTCTGGCAACTTTGGAAAACAGTTTGGCATATTCCTATAAAGTTAAATACACACTGACCATCAATTCAGCAATCTCACTCCTTGGTATTTATCCAAGAGAAATGAAAACTTTTGCTCACATAAAAACTACTGTGCAAAAAGATAAACTATGGTTGTGAAAAAAAAAAAAAATACTGTGCAAATATTTATATAGCAGCTATTCATGATCACCAAAATTTAGAAACAATCCAAATGTCCATCAAGCGGTGAATACATAGATATACTGTCATACTTCTCTACAATGGAATACTATTCCATCGCAATAAAAAGGGACAAAGTGCAGATACATACAACTCAGATGAATCTCCAAAACTCTAGATTTAAGCCGAAAAAGCCTGACTCAAAAGGCAACTCACTGCCTAACTTCATTCAGAAGACATTGATGGAAAGACAAATATATAGGGACAGAAAACAGATCGGTGGTGGCCCAAGACTGAGAGCAAAGAGAGGAGTCAACAACAGACACCAGAAAACTTTCTGAGGTGAAAGAACTCATCTACATCTCTTTTTTTGTCCATTTTTTTCCTTCATCTGTGTCTTAATTGTGAGGGTGGCTTTAAGACTTTATACATATAAAAGGGTAAATTTTAATAAATGAAAAAAAAAGGGTAAATTTTACTCTATGTAAATTATCCTTCAATACACCTGCCTTGAAAAAACCCTTAAAAGAAGTTTTTCGACTCAATGACTCTCCTTTGGGAGACTATCTGCAAGAAGTATTCTGAAACACACATAGCAGTATTCTTACTAAGAGTGACAAAACGGGAAAGAGGTGAATACCCTACTATTTGGGAACAGTTAAGTCAACTGAGATCTCTCCTCACTGACGTTAGAAATTATGTTCATAAAAAGTATGAAATTATTGTAAACATTTATAACAGTGAAAAAGAATACAGTACTGTAATTACAGTGTGATTGCAAACCACATAAGAAGCATCACTTTCTATTAAAAAGAAAAGAGACTGAAACAAAATACAGCATAATATCACTGGGGTTGAGTTTAGAGGCAATATCTTCTTTCCCATTTTTTCCTCAATCTATCTTTAATAAGCAAATGCTACTTTAAAAGGCTAGGCTTTGAATGTTGGCTGTCATTTGCCTCCTTTTCTTCTACGCCAGCTTCTCAAGTGGCATGTAGAAACCTACAGGAGAGTAACAAGCAGACAGAATAATGTGAAACGCGTGAGCTTGAAGGTGGGCACGGGAGATTTTTGCCATCACCCAATTACCTGTGTAGATCTGACCACATTATTTAACACCTCTAAGTTTTTTCATGTTAGTAAGAAGGAATAATACTACTTAAAGTTTATTGATCATCTCCACTGTTCCATCCCATCTTCACCGCAACCTTTATGAAGGAGGTAACATACTGTCATCTTGAAGATGAGGACATTGGTGTTCACAGACATTAAGTCACCAACCCAAGGTCACTGAACCAGTAAGGACCACAGAAGTCAGCTTCAGACGATCTGCCTCTACACACAAAGCTGAACTATCCAATCACATAGGGAGAGGGGAGGGTGTGTGATAATGGAAATAATTCAAAGTACATGGTAGGCTCTCAATTAATGACTGTTGGATCCAAGATAAATGTTTGCTAAACTGGAAGATTGCATCTGAAACAGAAATAGTTCCACAAATGAAGAGTAGTGTAGCACAATGATATTAATTCTGTCTTCTCTGAAGTGGACTCTTACTGTGTAAGTGATGTTAACAAACTTAGCCAAGAGGTCAGGCTGTGGAGAATGACATGCTTATTCATTCACCCAGGCTTTGGGGCTTGGAGATTATACAAGCACTGACTCCAAAGAGAATTTACAATCTTAGAAATAACTTTCCCACTGTCTGCCTGGACTATTTTGAAGGCTTAAGCTTTGTACCCACATTGATGGCAGAGAGCAGTATTGGGAAAGTGTATAACTATTAATACAAAATTGAGTGTGGCATGGGAGCCAGTGTATGAGAGTGCTGGCACAGACAAAGCTGAGTCTTTGCTTTTTGAGACCCTAAGTCAGTCACGTCATCTCTCTAAGCCTCAGTTTCTTCATCTGTAAAATGAAAATAATCCTATTTTGCAGGATGGATGCTAGGTTAACAAGTATTTAGTACATATGATGGACTTAAACGATCGATGGTTATTACTCAGACTAGTAATA